GTCAACAGCACATGGATGAGAAACTCTTTGTAGTTGAAAGCTACCTGTTGCTTTAGATAAGAACTCCCAGCTAAAATGGTTAATTTTTCTGTGGAGCCCTCAGCTTTGTTTATTCTGTTGTCCCATCCAGGCTTTTTCCTCTAATAAATCTGTGGGTTCCTGCATTTTGTTTGTTGAGTCTTGTCAATTAGTGAGTTCTTTTGTTTTATCTCTGAGTCTCTGTTATGTGGTGAATGTGCTGACTTTGCTAGTGTGAGTTAACTTTGGCCTGTAGCTTTAACAAGGGGTATGTAAGTAAAACTAACCTTAAACTAACTTAGTCTACATATGCTTCTAATGCTAATTTGGTTTATACTAACTTAATCTATATGTTAATTTTGGCTTAAAAACAGACAGGTGGGGGAGTCTTAAACTTCCTGGTCCTTGTGTCAGTCTTAGGGAACCACATTCCTACAAGATCACTAATTGGCTTTATTGCAATGGTTGGGGGTGATGTTTTACCCTTCCAGGGTACCGTAACAACAGCAAAACTCACGGCAGAGAAATTGAATACCGGCCAGTTCAAGGACACAAGGGAGAGCTCGTAGACTGGGCCTTGCCTCAGTTTCTTCCCAGTCCAGGCCCCGCCTTAGAATGGGAGGCAGCATCCTTACCAGCTTGTGTTGCCTGCATGGCCCTGTCGTTTATTTATTTATTTTAATTTCATCACAGAGGGACGGAGTAAGAGAGAGAGGGAAAGCGAGAAAGCAAGCCACCAGGTCTGGGACTCAAACCACTGATGACCATGTGAAAGTCCAGCACCCTTAACCACCATGCCGCCTGCTGGCCCCGAGAGCTAATATTTTTGTGATTCTCGATTCTTTGGGTCCCTTGAGTTGATGGCTTCATGTCCCTGGCCTCAGCCTCCGGACAAGAAATGACCTGTGCCTTCCCTGGATACCAGCCAGGGTCTCACTGCACTGGGCACAGCAATTACAGACGGTGGCCATGGGGCAGCTCAAGTCACCAGGGTGCTCAGACTGGGGAAAGCCATAAGACTCAGGCCAGAGGCCAAGCTTCTGAGGCACAGCCCACAGGAAACTGGGCTGCAGTGCTGGAAGCCACACGGCAGCCAGGGCTCAGATCCCGGTCCTTCCGAAAGCCAGCTGGGTGTGTCCCATGCTGGAGACTGGGGGAGGAGACTCTTTTTCTCATGTATATGCATATGCCATCATCAATTTAAAAAGGAAAAGCATCCGGGGCCAGCTGGTGGCATGGCGGCCAAGGTGCTGGATTCCACGTGGCTGACAGTGCCCTTCCAATCCTGGACCCTGTGGCCTAAAAAACACATGGGGTGTGTCTGCCTGTGTGCCCAAAATCCTGAAAGGAAAATGGATGAGAAGGGACTGCAGTGTGAGCCTGGAGGGATCGGGGGAGTGCTTTTTTATTTTCCTTCTCTCTCTCTTTCTCCGGGGAGCACATGTATCCTATAGCAAACAATACATACATACATATATACATATGTACATACAAAAACGATCATATCTTTAAAAAAAAAACAAAAAGAAAGAAAAAAGAACCAGGCCAGAGCACAGCCAAGGGGCAAGCCTCCTGCTGTGACTCAGACAGGTTCCCAAATTCACTGGCATCTGTCAGCTCATGAGGAGCGCTCACAGAGACAGTGGAGCCCTGAGAAGTCTAGGGATCAGCAATCCAGGAAGGCTTCCTGGAAGAGGAGGGTGTTTTGTATTGCACGTTGTTCCTCGACTTATTTGTCCTGTGCTCTCTCCCAGCCCCTTTCCCTTGTCCCCTGCTGCCCTCAACACCATGCCCCACGCCTGCCTTAGGATGCGAGCAGAGATCGCTGCTATCCTCCCTCTGCTTCGTTCTATACCCAAGGCAGGCTTGCAGGGCGCCCAGCAGGGCGCAGGCGCCGCCAGATGAGCCTGAGGCCGCCCATGCCACGGCGCGGGGACCCACGCGGGGGCGCCCGCGAGGCGAGGCCGAGCCCCGCCCGGGGCGGAGACGCGCGAACTCCAAGCCCCATGCGCGCGCCCCCCGGGGCGCGGGCCCACCCGCCGTCGGCGTCCTCCGCAGAGGGCGACCTAGGCCGCCGGCCGGGGACGCGGACGCAGCCGGGCAGCGACCGAGGGCCGAGGCCGCCGCCTGCCGCAGCCATGCCGGACGGCTGGGACAAGGACGTGTACCCCGAGCCTCCGCGCCGCACGCCGGCGCCGGCGCCGCAGACCTCGCTCCCCAACCCCATCACCTACTTGACGAAGGCCTTCGACCTCCTCGTGGACCGGCCGGTGACCCTCGTGAGAGGTACCGGGCCCTGCCGGCCGCGCGGACCCCCAGCGCGCTCCGGGGTGCCCCGCCCGGGCCCTGCCCTGTCGGGGTCCCGAACCCTGCAGCCCTGGCCCCAGCCCCTCCCCCGCCCCAGATGTCAGTGGGGGTCGGAGGGAGCTCGGGCCAGGGCCTTGTCCCTTTGCGTGGTGGGGCGGCAGCTCGGGCTGGCGGTGCTGCCGCTGGTGCCGAGCGCAGCGCTCGAGGCCCACCCAGGCCCCTAGGACCTGCCGGGCTGGACCGGCGCGCCCAGCCCCGGAGCACGGTCGCAGAAAGCGTCCCGTCAGCCCCGCCATCTGCCAGTGGGGGAGCTGGAGCGGTGGGATGAGCTCTGCTGGCTTCCCGTGCTGCGGGGGTGTGGGCCCCCGGCTAGGGCACCTGCAGCTGGCGCAGCACCCGGCCTGCAGGGTCTGCCCTCACTGCGCCCACCCGCTCTCATCCTGTGCTGGCGAGAAAGCATGTATCAAGCCCGTCGGAGGCACCGGGACTGAGGCTGGTCTCCCTGCAGAGTTCATAGAGCGGCAGCATGCCAAGAACAGGTCTCACTACTACCACCGTGAGTTCCGCCGCGTGCCCGACATCACCGAGTGCGAGGAGAAGGACGTCTTGTGCATGTTTGAAGCCGAAATGCAGTGGAGGAGGGACTAGTACGTGCACGCGGCTTTTCCCATGGGGATACCCTCATCCAGCTGCAGTGTACTTCCTGGGGCTGGCCTAGCTATTGGAGATGAGGCCCCCAGCCCACAGGGCCCTGGTACCCGCAAAACCTTCCTTAGGCTTTTTCTTTTGCAGCAAAGTGGATCAAGAAATAGTCAACATCATTCAGGAGAGGCTTAAGGCCTGCCAGCAGAGGGAAGGGGAAAGCCACAGGCAGAACTGTGCCAAGGAGCTGGAGCAGTTCGGCCAGGTGTCCAAGGCCTTCCAGGACCGCTGTGAGCGAAACCCCCCCCCCCAGCATGCAGACTCTGGGTCCTTGGGAAAACTGGGTTTCCAGAGCATTCCCAAGGTTCTCACTTCTTTTCTTTTCCCAGACCACGATCTGGGGGCCCACTATTCTGCCAGGAAGTGCCTGGCCAAACAGAAGCAGAGGATGCTGGCGGAGAGAAAAGCTGCCACGGAGGCTGCAGCTGCCTGAGGCTGGGTGTCAGCCCTTGTGACCCCATTCCCACAATAAAACGCCTGTTGCTCCTACATCGGTGTCCTGCCTCCCCTCATTACACCAAACACAGCACAAAGACAAGTTCTCAGGCTTAATTCACTTTATTCTCGCTGCATGAAAAACCCTAGGTTGTGGCCACAGCTGGAGCCTGGGTCCTCTGCACAGAGACTCTGGTGTGGGTCTTGACGAGATGGTCGGTGAATTCCTAGAAGACAAACCAGCCTCAGGTGTAACCAACCACCCACTTCGGCCCAGACGGGGGCCAAAAAGCTGCCAGCAGCCAGTACCTGATAGGGAGACTTGGTGAACACGGTCTCTTTCCAGAGGTCAGGGGTCAGGTAACTGTAGGTCTTGGAGATGGCATCAAAGGTGGCCTTGGCTGCGAGACAGGAGACAGACCGGGAGGGTTGGCGGCAGGTGAGAGGGCCCGGCCAACCCAGCAGTAGCTGCCTCCTAGGAACAGAGGCCACTTCGGGCAGGCCAGCCGTGTACTAGGAGGGCCTTTGCCCTGAAAACACCGAGCACGCGGGGCTGAGAGGCCTCTGCCCGCAGGTGGGTCACCTACCGAAGTTGCCCAGGGTGGCAGTGCAGCCCCGGGCTGAGGTGTAGCAGTCATCGATGCCAGCCATCATCAGCAGCTTCTTGGGCACAGGAGCAGAGACAATGCCAGTGCCTCTGGGGGCAGGAATGAGGCGCACCAACACAGAGCCAAAGAGGCCGGTCACCTTGCAAGGGACAGTGTGGGGCTTGCCGATCTTGTTCCCCCAGTAGCCTCTCCGCACTGGGACAATGGAGAGTTTGGCCAGGATGATGGCCCCTCGGATGGCAGTGGCCACCTCCTTGGAGCACTTCACGCCCAAACCAACATGGCCATTGTAGTCCCCGATGGCGACAAATGCCTGTGAAGAGACCCTGTGAGGTGGGCAGTACACACCATCAGTACCCACAACCCCCAGTTCCCACCCCCAGGCCTGTTGCACCCCTCGAGGGAAGAGAAGCCACATGAGGCCACTCCTGGGTCCCGAGGGGATCTTTGCTCTCTCTCCCCTTTACGAAAGCCACACGGGTGAAACCAAGTGTGACTGTGCAGAGCTGAGAGAGGCCTCGTGCTCCCTGGCCGGCAGAGCCGGTACCTTGAACCTGGTCCGCTGGCCAGCGCGCGTCTGCTTCTGCACGGGCATGATCTTCAGAACCTCGTCCTTGAGAGACGCTCCCAGGAAGAAGTCGATGATCTCGGACTCCTACAGCAAAACACGGCCGGGCATGGCACCTTCCAGCGTGGAGGCTGAGGCCACCAGGACTGCCTCAGTGTCCACTCCCGGTGGGACCCCACTGCACACCCAGCTCCTAACTGTCCTGGGGTGGGCACCCAATCTCAGCCGCTCAAGCGTAAGACCCAGGGCCCCAGACACACCAGCCAACAGCAGACCTCAACCTGCCACCGGGAAACAGGTACTTCTTTATTTAAAGAATTTAATCTTACTCGTTGTTATGTTAGAATTTATTTTTTTGAAGTTGACCAGAGAAAGCGAGAGAAGACGAGAAAGCGAGCTGCCAGGTCCGAGACTCGAACCGCCTTAGTCACCGCGCCACCTGCCGGCCCCCGCTAAACGGCCACCTTGGTGGGCAG